CAGCTGATGGAGATGATGCCACAATCTTTATGAGCTCGATGGGACGCGGGTTAGACAATGACAGTAAGCGTTTAAAGTACGCGCAACTATTAAGGCTTTTAACTGAGTGTTCAGGAAAATGGTCCTTCCCGTAATACGTCAAAGAATGGTATTTTAATTGAACGTAATTTTATCAGTTCAAAACTGAAAGGGAGCGTGAGAGGGAAATTTTAATAATTCGATGGATATATTTTAAAATGTCAATATTTTTTCTATCCCTCGCTTACGTTGTTTGATAAAGATGTTATTTTTATTAAGGCATTCGGGCTTTCATTATAAAAGTGAAAGTTCAATAGGGTTTAGAACGCTATTTGATTTAGTTTGAGAAAACTGAAAATTAAGAGACATTATGAACATTGAAAACTGTCATATAATATAATAATGAAAACGACAAAATATACTATGTTTCATAAGAGATATATTAGAAAAGACGTTTCATAATATTTCTTCATGTTATAAACCAATAATGGATAAGGTAAAAGAGACAAAATATATTGACATCGGTATAATAATATTTCGTATCAAGGAAAATATAGTAAAATAAATATTGAATACTTGCTAATTTTAATTTCAAATTTATCAATAAATTCTACATTTGATTAAAAAAAAAAAAAAAAAAAATCGTTTCTTTCAAATGAAGAGAAACTATATCGATTATTCGCTGTTGATAAAATAAATATGAAAGTTATGGAACATACGAAAAATGCATAGTAATTTCATCATTATTATATATATTTTTGTCATTCGCTAATATAAATTATATAATCACGAGTGAGTGAAAATTGTGTGCAATTATTTGTTTTTACTTATATTAATAAAAGGAGAGAGAAAATTATGATTCGCGTAAAAAAAAAAAAAATAAATAAATAAAATAAATAAATATATAAATAAAACAATATTTTTGTTTAATTTTAAAATATCATTACATTGTTGTAATTTGAAACTTGCAATTGAGAGAGCAACAATCAACAAACAACCATTTGATTTTCTCAATTTAGTGTTAACAACATCGAAATGTGTATTACAGTAAATTCACTTGTCTAAAATACATAATCTATTTAATATCATCAAATAGTAAATAATAAAATAATGTTGAATTATTATCTTGAATTATAATAGCTTACCTAATGGAGAAAAAAAATAAATGAAGAATAAGAACCTTCCCGATAACAATCATAAATGTTGGAATAAACCTATATACGCTAGCTGTCCCATGGGCATGTAGAGGCGCGTGTCGTGTGCGTGTACAGTAGTGGGCGATAAAGGAGGGAAATATAGCCGGGGTTTGGTGAATGGTCGATCGCGCTTATCCGCTAATTGCAGCATAAACGGCAGCATCACATTATGCGTCGTCAGGTATCTTCTCTGTTCGCTCGCTTCTACGACACTTCATAGATATATATTCTTGTACCTTTGTGCGCCGGAGCTAAGCTCGGCAACATTAAATGCCCTGTGTCCCCTGTGCGTTTTAAAAGTACTCGTTAACCAACCTGCTTTCCCTCGCCTTTTAATCAACGAAGCAAAATACTTTATCGAAAAAAATAATTTGCATTTGCATTGAAGCAAAGTAGAATGCCTTTTAAATTAAGTGCAGGGAGAAATTTATCATTTTCCATTCAATTCTACAACGCGTATATTATCTCAAAAACATTATCACTTATGTATATAAATTTTCCAAGCTCATTTTTTGGCTTATCATTGATGGAAAGAATATGCAGATATTTTCAGAGGCATCAGAGTATAATGAATCTTTTCACAAACACTCTCTCTCTCTCTCTCTCTCTCTCTCTCTCTCTCTATATATATATATATATATATATATATATATGTGTATAATTAATTTATTACATATTAAACTTTTAATAATGTAAAAAATGTAAAAATCAATATATAGGAAAGTATACGTGTAAAAAATTTGAACAGAAGTATTAAGAAAGAATTAAAGAAGTTTCAAAATTCTTTAAACTATTATTATTATTTTGCAACTTATTAAAAATCTCTACGTAGCATACTGCAAAGAAAATTTATCCAATCTCTTATACATAATGTAAAAATAAATATATTTCACGTAATAATTATCTATAAATATAATTTTATATTTCATAAACACGAGTGAAAATTCTTTGCTTCATCAATATTTAACTAAACTAATTAGTTATTATACAAATAAAAGAATTTATGAATAATTTGTTAAAATAAAAAATTTTAAATATATCCTTCCCATTTCCATGAAAATTTGATGATTCACTTAAATAAATCTAAATAATTTATTTTCCAAATTAATCCTAAGAATACATATATATATTTATTTATTTATTTCGTTTATTTATTTCGTTTATTTATTTATCCAAAATAAATATTATATAAATTAATTACAATTATGTATAGCAATATCATTCGAAATTAAGAAACACTAAAAAATTGTTTTAATTATAAAAATACATTATTGAAAAAACTTAGTATCTAAATATATAATCAATATTAAAAAAATAATGATAAATATAAAGTTTGTAAATAATAGTTAAAAAAAAAAACAAAAACAAAAAAAACAACAAAAAAGTTATCAAATTCAAGTCAATATGAAATTCAACGCAATCATTATAATCATCAATCACTGAAAGCATAAAAAAAAAAAGAAAAAAGGATTTTACGATCGACGTCGCGAAAAGTGTATCCATTAATTCCAATAATAAAAGGTAAAGAGTTGTAAAATTTGAAAGCTAGTGAACAATATTCAAAGCTGAAAATCTGATTTTTAAAAATTGTTTATAATACAATAGATATGCCGAATAATAACTATTTAATTATATTAATTTCGTTTAAGAATAAACAATTTAATAGATAGAAAATCGAATGTATCGTTCACTACATTTTTATGGAATTGTCTCTTAAGACTTTAATGTTTCAAATCATTTTTGCATCATAACGAGAGGTTGAGATTTAAAAGTATTTTTTTTTCTTCAGAATTCCTATAATGCTAAAGTATAACAGGACTATAAAGAATTTTATATCTTCCATACGAGTTGGGTAAAAAATTTAATATAATGAAACTGCATCAAGAAACTTAATAATACGAAACGATTTCATTCAATCATCTATTATTCACTCAACAACAATAAAAGCGTAAAAAATTTAACATAAATTCCACACCAAATTAAACTAATTCATGAAAAACGACTAAACAGTTACTATCATTTAAACAGCCAATGACAATTTAATGTATTAATTTAACAGATTTGTAATACACGTATTTTTGCTTCTACGTGTTACACACACTTATAATTTTGCTGAAAATACATTGACTCCTCGTTAATAAATTTTTTTATGCATTTTTCCACCCGTATGTGAGATCAGCCTATATTCAGCCTAGTGAACTCGTATGGTCATGCTTTCTCTCTTTACTTTTATCATTATTGATGTCTCTCTCTCTCTCTCTCTCTCTCTCACTCTCTCTCACTCTCTCACTCTCTCACTCTCTCACTCTCTTCCGCTTATTTTCTCTATCTTTACTTTTTCTTTCTTTCTGTTCCACAATTGGCCAACCAAATACAAGCCATTTGATAAAATATCATTAATGGTTATGCAAATCGGTCAACGTGTACATATAACAATTATATAACTCTGTGTGTGTGTGTGTGTGTGTGTGTGTGTGTGTGTGTGTCTGGGCGTGTGTGTGGAAAAATGAGAACGGGATAGTACAATTGGTTTATGGTTCTCACTATTGGTAAATTCGGATCTGTCAGAAATTTTTAATTGCCTTCTATATATATATATATATATAGATATGCAAGCATACAGGAATTTACCTATGTCTATTCATGCGAGTATGTCTCTTTTTTTAGCGTCGCTGTCATATGTTTCTGAAATGGATGCACATATACATACGCATGTTTCCATAGAGAAGCACAGATTGGGCTCGTATGCGATTGATTGTTTCCTCTTCTTCTAATTCTCTCTCCTACGCACATGGATATATGATTTGCTATTCTCCTTTTTACACATTCAATGGTTTATATACAGAGATATGCGGATGTGAGTCAGAGTGTGAATGAAGCAAATTCTATGAATATTGAAACATGACATCTGCTCTTCAAAAATTCCAGAACAATAACATTTTTGTTGATGCAAATATTAGCTCTCGGTAAAGATAAAGAATATAGCATGTTTTTATAATAATCCCAGACATTATAACAATAATAATTGTAATTGTTATTAACTATATAGCGCATAAAAATGAATGGGCTTAATAAAATAGTTAATTGTTACTTCCATTTCAGAGTTGCTTTGATTCTTCTTTATAAAATATTTTTTCTATAATAATTTTACGTAATTTTTTTTTTCATAAATACAAATAATATGTAATTGATCGATATATATGCATTACATTAATTATTTACATTGATTATAAATATAAATTTTACATTAGATTACAGTAGGAATAAAATTGGAAAATTAGTTATCTACATTCATTAAAAAAAAAAAAAAAAAAAAAAAAAAAAATAAAAAAAAAAATAAAAAAAAATAAAAATTTAACAAAATATGTTCAACTATTAATTTTTTAAATTTTTGTACAAAGTAAATTAATGAAAAAATTGTATGACATTTGTGATACTTATAATTGTTCGTGAAAATTCCAGCATTTCATGTTTTAAGTTTTCGGTTAATTAAGATTACTTTCAAATAGAAAGGGTAACAGCAACGGCTATTTGAATTAGTAAGAATATAAATTAAAGACAAAAATACGTCAGTAGAATTAAGTCATTCGTTAAATTTTATACTAAAATTGTTGAAATATCATAGAAAATTATTGTCTTTTTTTCTGACGTAAAGCTATAGAAAATAAGATAGAAAGAAAAAAATTTATGCATGCACAACAATATAAATTTGCTTCTAATCATTATTAAAACCAGCTTATTTATAAAATTCGTTGTATAAAAAACCAGAGAATTCGTTGCTTTTAGTTCGCCCATTAATCGAAGTGCCGAATCAACTCGTCGGCGCGCCGATTAGAACCGATGTGACTCTCTCCTGCAAGGTCGAAGCTTCGCCAAAACCCATCAATTATTGGACGCGTGAGAACGGTAAGTATATATATATATATATATATATATATATATATATATAACTACATATTGAATGCATTTCTACTTTCGTCAATATTAGCATGCCAATTTCAAGAATTACGCAACTCTTGCAATATCAATTTTACTCATTCATAAAAATATCACTCCTTAATAATTAATTTAATCACTTTCAATACTTCAATATTAACTTTCAACTACGTAAGCCAAACTGAAAAATATATATATTTAGGCACTTAAAGAGAGTCACATTAGCTGATTAGTATACATTCTTTCATTAAAACTTTATTAATTTCATTTGACAAACTTTATGGATCTAAGAAATTCATTTAATAGTTCTTTTATAAAATGATACGTATGAGCATTTCTTCTTATAGATTTTTACAACATCAAATTCTACTTTTATAGAAATTCAAAGTGACAGAATGGAATTATGTACAACACAGGCCCTATGCACAGTTTAATTTACACTCAGAACATACAGAAAAAAAAAAATTAATTTATTCATATATAATATCCAATCTATATTTGTTATTACAATGTGTAATTTTGCTGAGGAGGGCAATAAAATTCTTACATATTTTACGCTAGAAATTATTGATAATTTTTAAATACAATAATTTTTTACAATAAGAAAATGCTATTATCAGTAAATATATGATTTATTTAATCTAATGTTCATATAATTTTAAACTGCAATAAAATATTCAGATAAAATAAAATGAACTAAATATTTATAAATATCAACGGAATTAAATTTCTTTAAATTAATTATTACCATGGCCGTTCATTTTCAATTTTTTTCAATTACACTCCTATCCTAATCATAAATTTTGATCATAATTTTATAACATAATTATAATGATTATTCTATTTTTACGTAAGCATATATTTATCTAATAGATTAAAGAATAATTAAAATATTTAATTTTTTTTTCCCTATAGAATATGATTATAATAAATATGAAACTACTCAGCGCAGTTAAATATACATAATTATTAAGGTTTATAACATAATGGCTATATAATTATAATATTTATTATACAACCCACTGAAGCACACTTCTTTATTGCGCCCGATTTACGTTATACGATAACAACACTAAATAATTTAACACCTTGCGCTAGCGTATAAACGATTATTAGTGTATATAAAATTAAAAAAAAAAAAAATAAAAAAAAAAAGAGAAGAAGAAATAAAAGTAAAGTCATATTACATAATTAGATAAATTGTAAAGGATATGAAGAGAGCTCAAAGTGCTACAGGATAAATACAAAATTACAAAATCATCAATAAAATTCCAACGTAAATAAATAGAGTGGCATTCATTCAAAATCCTTAATCTTTTAGAGTTTAGAGTGCCGTAGATAACATAGTGAATGCGAATCAATTGAATGTTCTATCTAATATAATTATTTACAATTATCTAATGGCAACCTATTAATCTTTTTGTTCTTGGCTCTGACTGGCAGGAGAAATGATAATTAGCAACGATAAGTACGCTATGTCCGAAGAAATATCAAACATGTACAGCGCCTGGATGCAATTGATAGTTCGAGATCTACAAGCACGCGATTTCGGCGGATACAAATGTATCTCGAAAAATTCCTTGGGCGACGCTGAAAGTGGCATAAGATTGTACGGTAAGCTTTTCCAGCAGCCTTATCTGTAACCAAAATCAAAATTATTATTATCGAAAATAATAAAAGTAAGTAATTTTTCATTCGCGGGCCTTGAGAAAATATCCACGAAATTAACAACATTCAAATTTCCTTTTGAAATACAATTTCAACGAGTCACTACTCGCGGCCACTAGTGTATATAAATTATTGCACTCGGTGAAAACATCATCACTAAAGAGATTCAAGAATAAAGTAATAATAATTCACAATACTAGCCGCTCGTTAATATCAATGCAATCATTTACATTAGAACGTCTAATGAAAATGATAAACATGCCCTAACCAGCCGAATGGCAGTCGCATCAATAATTGTTGCTAAATTAAATAAAGAACTCGTTTAGCAATGAGAGTCCCTCGATTAAATAACGCGAATTATTTGTTTACTCTAATGAAATAATAATCTATCTTAGTATACCTGTTAGTGGAAATAGTGAGAGAAATAGTGAGGCACTTTAGCCAACTTCCCCCTCGTTCCCTCCGCGCCATCGACCCATCGCCACCATCGGGCCTCTTCGGTAAGAGCGAGCAGCAGCCGCAGCAGAAGCTTATCTGATCGCGTGACTGCGCTACTCGTTGCAGTTTTCACGAAAGGGATCGAGAGATGCGAGACGAGAGGCGTCCGTTTACACCGGAAAATACCCGTTTAAAGAACTGCTTTCCGTACTTTCCCCGTCCGATTTCAATGCTTTCCATCTTTCGCGATCCACCTCCTGCTCATTCCTTCGTTTACTTTCGTTTTATTACGGACGTAAGGGACGTTACAATTGTCATCACGGTATCACTAATCGATTTTCATAAGATTGCTGCAACTTTCTAGAATTAAAAATTAAAAAAAAAAAAAGAAAAAGAAACGATTAATATTAAAGCTTAAAATTAAAGCTTAAAATACAAATATGACGATATTCCATGACATTATCAATGATGAGCATGCTATACTCCGTTTATATTTTAATGATATTTTAAAGATAGTAAATTTAATATAGTAATTAAAAATTGCACTTTTTATACTTTATGCGAATCGAGATTTCATCGTGAAATTGTCAATTGCTTTGCTTATCAGCATTAGCATTAGTATTATTAAAATTTCGATTTAGCATCTAGACAATAGTAAAGTATTATTCAGAAGATCTATTGAAAGAAAACTAAGCAGAATCAAGTGATAAAATCACTCTCTTTTAAATACACTTTTAATTTGCAATTCTTCTAATTACCGAAATACTTTTTATTTTCATTCTAGAATTACACTCAAGTTTGAGAAAATAGAATGAATTCTTATTAACAGGGTTAATTTATTTAGATTTTCCTTATTCTTTTAACGTATGTTTAACTAATCCCAATCTATATCTCGATTCTTTCGTTTATACATTCTATACGTAATCGTTACAGCTTAAAATCATATTAAATGCATAGAAAAATTAATTCTCATCGTAAATAACATAATGATTGGTAGATAATGTTGTAATATAATTATTTGCAATAGTAAGTAATCGTTTAAATACACAATCTAATTTAATCATCCATCTATTGGAAAAGATCATTAATTAATGCAGTAAGACTGAAACTTTTATTTGATTTTCCTTTTAATTGTACAATATCTTGTCAGTGTGAACAATGACGATAAAATTATAATTGCAACGAGTGGACATTGTATTATTCGTAGAATTTTTAATGAAATTGCTTACTTTGGCATTGAAGAGCCATTGAATTCATTAATTCTTATAAAATTTATTAAAAATGTTCCTAACAAATACTTATTCTCAATAATGTTATCTAAAATTACATCTACATTAAAGTTGATTCAGTAAAGACGATTAAGGCAGACTGACTTAAAATATAATAATATAATAATTCTATTAATAACAATAGTTTTGATGTAGTTGACAATTATATTGTAAGTAGTAAATATAATCACAATTTATTAATCAACATTAACTCTCTTTATAAATATTTGTTCTACAGAGCTAAATCTTTTTTAATAAAGGCCATTGTAGGCATTAAAAATGATTACTAATGAAATATTGATAGATGCACATGTAGTTGAAATAGAAATCAATAATCTTTAATAACATTTTTATACCGAAGAATATTGTTCTTATATGTATTTGATAATTAATCCATTTAGTATATTTACTAGACTAACTGAGCATCCGCACACGCACACACCCACACCCACACACACACACACACACACACACACATATATATATATATGTATTAGTAGAGGCAGATAAAAATAATAAAAATCAAAATAAAAAAAAAAACAAAAACAAAAAAACAAAAAAACAAAAAAACAATGGAATAACTACTCAATAATTTTTTAATCTACGCTTATTATAGGTTATAAATTTTAATTTATTATGCATGTGGTTGTTGTGGTGAGGGTTAAAAATTACAATGACGACAAGTGTTACAATGACGTATGTTAGAAAAGCATCGATTGCACTATTTTTCACAGACAATTGGGCTCGGAAAGAAGTAACATAGAATTAACAGTCGACGGTCGAAAAATGCAAAACGTCCGATTACGTAAAAAACGATCCTTACATTATAAATATTAATCGAAAGAATAAATATTTGGATTATACGAAATAAGAAAGTCCTATCAAGTTAAAATCTTAGTCTTCATTAAGGACTTAAACGACTTGACGCTCTTTATCTCGAATCAAATGAAGCTTCTAAGCAGTGGCAGCTCGTCGGAAAATCAGCGCAATTGTTAACGCTGACTGAACCTTTCCGTATCCGGTAATTACGCGCCACGGCAGCATAAAGCACTTTTTCCTCGGACTGGATACGTAGAAGGGTAAAAAAAAAAAAAAAAAAAAAAAAAAAAAAACGAAAAAAAGAAGCAGGAAGCACAAACTCCGCAGGGGATAAGACTCGAGCGCCGTATGGTATAGGTAGGAGGAAGAGGGCAGGCCTCGGAAAGTAGCAGTTTAGCTCTGATAACACTTGGTGTACTTTTATCGATTATGTCTGGCAACAGATGGCTCACCCAATTTTCGCCATACTGGCTACTACTTCGCCGCCCTCACTTTGTGCTTGCATGTGTGCAAGTCGTCTACGTGTACACGTTTTCGGTTCCCCGCCACTTGGCCTCTGATAAACGATAACTAATACGCGCCAGATATTGTTTCACTGACTTTTCTAGCGCCTCACTGCCCCTACTTCTTTTCCTCCTACGCCTTTTCTTCGGCTTATCATCTAGCCAGGTTATTTTCACTCCTCCCTCTCGCTCCCTCTACACTTGCTCCACTTGCTCTTTCTCTTTATCTATCTATCTTTGATAACTTTCTTCTCATTTTTCTCGTTGACACCCTTTTTTCATATTCTTTCATATACGACCATCGTCTTCCAATTTTTTCGTGCTCCGCTGTTTGTTTCGCATCTTGTTTTTGACGTTTTTAGTAATTTTGCGGTTGCTCGGAGATTGAGAGACGATTGTCCGTACTTTCTTCTTAGTCGAAGGATAGGAAAAATTATTGTAAGGGAAGCCGATAACGAACAACCTCTGAAAAAGAACTGCAATATAAATCGGAACTTCTTCAATGTAAGAAATTTACTTGTAGCTCGATAAAAACTAACACATACGTTATATTAATTTTTACAATACAGTGAAAACGGTAATACGATGAACATTACTGTTTTTCGTTTATTATTATACTGATTGTTTTTATAGTTATTGTTGTCGTTATTATTAAATAATCCAAACGAAATATGTCTTAATCTAGATGAGCGCGCTTTATTATTACACAATTTTTTAATTTTTTATTCAATATGCATTGTAACATTTACAATTGATAAAATATATCTTGTATTACGAGTCACTTGTTCTGCTTGTAAGATTTTCTCTCGGCTTATGTTTTTCAAGGAGTTTATTTCCGCTGCTAATATGCACGTAATAATATGTTCGTGGATTTGAATTTTCTTTTATTATAAAAATTCATCATAATAGATTAATGTTGAATATGACTTACAAATTCACAATATAAAATAAACGAATCCAATAAACGTGTCGGATGGATGGTTCATAATAAATATAAGCACTATTGAAAACTGGAGTAAATTTAATTTCAATAAATTATACTTTCTATAATTAAATTGTACCGAAGAGAACTTATAATTTAATAAACTCATATATATATATATATATATATATATATATATATATATATATATATAATAAATTAAACGGTTTCTATACTGCACGATAATGTTAGGAATATGATCAAGTAATTCATGATTGATAATTAATTCGCGTCCGTATTGAGCTCCATAATTAGTACATTTTATTATAATATTCAATGAATTTTATTGCATTTATTATAAATTTATATAAATATAATTTTAAAAATCAGGTCATCGGACATTTGAAAAGAGCAATATACGTATGCAGGCAGGCGCGCACGTACCCTCTTCTGCACAGATCTTGAAATAAAACAAAACAAAACAAAACAAAACAAAACAAAACAAAACAAAACAAAACAAAACAAAACAAAACAAAACAAAACAAAACAAAACAAAACAAAACAAAACAAAACAAAACAAAACAAAACAAAACAAAACAAAACAAAACAAAACAAAACAAAACAAAACAAAACAAAACAAAACAAAACAAAACAAAACAAAACAAAACAAAACAAAACAAAACAAAACAAAACAAAACAAAACAAAACAAAACAAAACAAAACAAAACAAAACAAAACAAAACAAAACAAAACAAAACAAAACAAAACAAAACAAAACAAAACAAAACAAAACAAAACAAAACAAAACAAAACAAAACAAAACAAAACAAAACAAAACAAAACAAAACAAAACAAAACAAAACAAAACAAAACAAAACAAAACAAAACAAAACAAAACAAAACAAAACAAAACAAAACAAAACAAAACAAAACAAAACAAAACAAAACAAAACAAAACAAAACAAAACAAAACAAAACAAAAACATCTTCACTAAGTTGCACGTAAAAAAGCTCTTATAAATTTCAAATTTCATATCACGAATATCTCTATCTCTATTAGCAGATAAATCTCGGCTGACGGGTAGGAATTTGTAAATAATTTCTTTCGTCAAGTTCGACGATTGCCGGTGGTGGGGTACAACGATGTTATACGTAAAAAAAGTATTATTTTTTTTCCGGCTTCGTATTGTTTAATAGGCTATATAGTATTATATATGCCCGTTTTCTAATATATTTGCGAACAATTATTATCTTTAGACCGATTGAAAGCAATTAGCTCATTTATGTATTTAAATCGCTTTAAATGAGTTGTACGCGGAAGTGGTGGGTCGAGCATGAATTATTTGAGAGAAACAATCCGTTTGAGAGACTAAAATGAGCAACGAGCGGTGATGGAAACAAAAATTTTCACTTTTAATTCGTATAAATTGTTCGAAACGCCAGAACGAAAGAACGAAAAGAAAAAAGAAAAAAAAAAGGAAAATAGAAAAGTATAAGGGAGTAAGTAGTATGTGATAGAGGGAAGAGAAAGTTAATTACCGTTCTGTAGATGCCCAGGGACGGACGCGACGGGATGAACAATTAATTAAATACACTTGGATTGACAGAACGGGAGTGATGAACATTAATGGGATGCGTGGGAGGGCTCGACGAAATCCTTAGAGCAGCCGAAAATGTACCCAATAAACAATAACCGTGCTTGCGGGACTTAAAGTATCGGCAAATAATCTTACAATTACAGAGATCGCACTGCAGGAGCGTAAGCACGAGCACCACAATGGCGGATCAAGTAACAACGAGTACGAGACGGAGGAGCGGGAGCTGAGTAACCGCTTGAACCACGTTTATCAGGGTTCGCTGAGGGAGAGTGGCTCGACACTCCGACCCAGGAGCAACGCGTCGGCCAACGGCAGCCGAGTGACGCAAGCCCTGGCACTCGTCGCGGCCATCTTCACGATACTCATGTTGGCAGAGCCGAGGGCGTAGAACCGGAGGGACCGGTCACACGGGGCTTGTAAAAAGTAAGACGCGAGGATCAGCTTGCGAGGATACGCCCACGAGGCCCGTCGCGAGTGCCTCGGCTCTGCTAGTGCCTACAACAATTTATGTCCTTGTGGTTTCTTACGTTAGCTAGGGATCATATTTTTCTCTGTCGATGCGTTCAGCTGGACTTTCACTCGGAGATTCGGCGATGGCTCGAGTCGTCGATCCAGTCCAGATGACAAACGGGAGTGATTTTCCAAGACCGAGATTGGGGGCAGCTTATGCTTTAAGAATAGTCGAGTTTGCCACCACAATGATTGGGAAGTAATGATGGAAGAGAGAGAGAGAGAGAGAGAGAGAGAGTGGCCTTTAGGATCATTGAATTTTAGCAGACCAAATTTCTATCGTTCGCTCGTTTCTATTTCTATTTTAATTGATTTATTTATCGGCTTTTTTATTATTTATTTCTTTATCGGCTGCGTGAATAATGAGGTATGGAAATATTGTTATCCTCGTTCGGATGGGAATATGATTTTGTCGATTTTTCGTTATATTAACGATGCCGCATATTTAAAAACAAAATGTATTCAATGCTTAAATTCTTGAAGTCGAATGGAGGATTTCCAAAACATAAGTATAACGTAAGTTTTTATTATTTGTTTGTAATTGTCTAAAATTTGCTAGATTTTATTAAGTAGCAATAAATATATAAAAGTTTTACTTTATTCGTCAGACGAATAACTAATATATATATATATATATATATATATATATAACTATTTAATTCCCAATCAATCAGCAGTATTATTAACTATTACTAATTGATGGAAAAGTGAATTAAAAATAGACGGGATAGCGAAAATTAATACATATAATCATTTTATATGCTAAACGACAAAAAATTCAAGCAAAATATTCTTTTTTTACTTTGCCAATTCATGCTTCATAATTTATTCATTTTTTTTTTATTTATTATATCATTTTCTATTTGTAATTTTGCATGCCTTAAATATAACTGACTCTTTGTATCCAAATAATTAATCATTAAAATACCCTCTTATCGTTCGTTATATTATACTTGAATTTTAAATAATTGATTCTTCATTAAAAAGAAATAATGTTATTTCAAAAGAATCCTTTTTCAAATAAGCGTAATTTTACAAAAGGAAATCTATTTTGAATCTTAAATTTTCATTTCATATCGCTTTTTTTTCGATAAAATAAAATTACAATTAAAATTACTCGTTCCTTATATTTCTATCCATTTCATTAAATTTTACGTTGTACAATATTCATCGATAATTAATTTGTGCATTAAATACTGTTGTACATAGACTTTTTCTAAGATAGATAAAGCTGAAAAAGTAGATGGAATTATAAAATATTTTTTATTTTTAACTTTTGTTTTTAAAGTATAATATTAAAACTATACTAATTGTACAACTAAAATTGCAAGAACAAAAAAAAAAGATTAAAAAGGACATATATTATTATTAATATATATATATATATATATATATATATAGATAGATAGATAAAACAGCATATCATAATAAAAAAAAAAAAAATCATATCATGATCGTATTTGTAAAAAGTGACCCATAATTTAAATAAAATTCTTTTATTAGCTACTGTAATAAAGTTTTTGAGTCATATAAAAAGTGCTACTCATCGTGCCAAAAAGTCATACATTTTTCAATATACAAAACGCATGTTCGTGTCTTCGGAAAATATACGGATCAATTATTTTCCTTTATTAAATCCTATAAAATTATTCTTAATTATTCTCAATATATGTATGTATACGTGTATATATACATAATATATATGTTACATATTGATGGGCTAAATTTGATTTTTGTATTGTTATTTATATAAATACATCCATATATTGTTGTATGAAACTTTCACACTTCTATTCACCTATAATGTGTCGTTTAATAATAACTTGGCGAGTAAATATCACTCAAGGAAAAAGTAAATAAAATATTACATTTCTGAATTTACAAAATTAAATTGTATTCTATTTAACAATATTCTGTTTTATAATTATAAGAGATTTAACTATAGTAATTTATACAAAAATTGGAACTTATACATGAATCCTTCTATTGTCTAGGTCAGTTAATTTATAAAAATTGAATGTTTATATATTATTTATTATGTTTATTTATTATGACTGGATAAGATTCACTTGCTATTTTGTCTCATCATTCTCTACTTACTAGCAATTAGCAATCTCAGCTTTTTTTCTTGATGCTAAATCAAATAGTGATTTATACAAAAATATATATTTAATTCAATAAAACGTCTTTACAAAATAAATCTACATTCAGTCGGTAATCTCTGCATCATGATAAATTCGATTAAATAACCGAAGTCTGCGAATCCAACCATATAATAACCTCAACATATTCTTATTCTTATTCTACATTAGAAACGAAATATAAGTAATTGATTGTAAAGGGGCTATGAATGTCATAAAAAAAATTTTTTTAAACTACATCAAACACGTCATCGTACGTAAATAGTAAGTATTATTATGATGATTATGAAAGCTAACGATTGATTTATTTCTAATTACATTGCTTTCTATTTTTAATAATTGCATTCCATATATATTGCTCTAATTTACTTTTTCTCGCTGTTATATTCTGTTATATGCTAAATTTATTTATAAATTTTTACAAATTTTATTATTTATAATATTTAAATTTTTATCATATGAATGTGAAATATTTAAATATTTATCGTAACTATTTATAAATGATGATTAATTTACACGATCGCACCAATTATTTTTCTACATTATATTACTAGATCATTAAATTGCTAAATTGTTAAATTAAAATTTCTAATAAATTATAATATAATATAATACTAAATCATATTTTTTTTAAAGATATCTAATCTTTCGAATAATCATTACACGATAAATGATAATAGCCATTACTTTGCATTCGTAGTTTTAGTCGATTAGTAAGTATATACATTGATTGTCTTGAATTATTTCCGTCTTTGTCCCTTCTCATCATCGCCTCTATAAAACATCTGTACTTTTAATGTGAATTTTATAAACCTCATTACACTTAACGAGCTGATTATATTAGCACACAATGTATTTCATTTGAAGAATTCTACCTTATAAACTGCCTATTGAATTAATCATCGTGAAATTTAAATATTTGTACAGATTATTTATATTTATAGATGATTTATATTTGAAATTACCATAAATTATATTTAACATAAATTCTAGCATAAATCTTCTTCTTTTATGCGTTCGTTATAGGGATTTAAGGCAATTCCTCTCCTGAAAAAGCAAGAAATATATTTTTGGCTAATAATGGAATAAAATTTTTAATTTTAACTATATTTTTATTTCAATAACGAAATCGTACAATTGCACTACGAAATCTCCTTTTTCTTAACAATTGCTTAGTTGTCAATTGTTGTTAAATATTAATTTACTTAATATATAAATATCAAATTACATATTCTCTGGTAATATATTTTATGCGCGTATAATTATTATTGTTAAAAAAAGGGAAATAAATTAAATTCATTCTTTTAGTATAAAATATTTCTATAAATACTGTATACAAGTATTTATCGTAGTTTTTAATATATAAATTTAAAATTTAAATCAATATTACATAATTTTTTAATTAGCTAGTGAATTAAAAAGTAATAAATAAATAATAGATTGAATTTAAATACTTCTATTTTTAATTTTATTTAATTTAATGATTAATTCGACTATTTTAATCTAATTAAATATATTATTTTGCTTGCTAATATATACATATATATATATATATATATATCTTTGCTATATCAAGTTTATAATTGTTTTGCAATAAATAACTATGCTATATTTTTATTTGTTAAAGTAATGTTTTTTTGCACATTTTATGTCTTTTATAAATTTCTTTCATATATATATATATATATATATATTTACTTTGCTATATATTTATTTTAATTATAATTTTATTCTTTTTATGAAATTTTTCTTAATTTAATAGTACTTTTTAGTGAAGATTATTTTTTATGTTTTGAGATGGCTATGATTTTTAATAATATTTTTAGTACGCATTTAATTTTTTTTCCATTATATTTTTATCTTTGGAATCAATTTTTTCTTTCATCTAACGTTTTCATTATTTTTGCTGTAATTAAATAGATTCTATTTATTCACAATAAAAATAAAAATAGTATAAAGCAAAAGAGACGTTTTTTATATGTAACTTTTTTTTTTAAACGTTATTTATCGTTGCTTCTTTTCAAATCTTTTCAAATCTTTTAGATATTAATATTGTTAAATATATTTTCCATCTTATTATTGGTAGTGTTATTTATATTTTAATATATATTTCAAATTAATGAAAATGATCAACAAAATATTTAATTTTTTGTCGATGTTTTCAACCAATACACTTCATCGTATAATTCCTGTTTACTGTCATTTAATATATTTCAATTTTAGAAATTGAAAATTCTTAACCTCTACCGTAAATGTTCTTCTTTTTCTTTAAATAATGACATCATTTAATTTGCACTCATTTTCCTTACCTTCAATTTAGGATTCACCGACTCTCTAATCAATATTATTCTATTTAATACTGATAATGATACTTATAATCTTATATTTATATATAGACGATTTCTGACCAATAATTTTCCATTGAAGACTGGAAGGCGAACTTATGCAAATTGCGAATAAATTTGTGCTTTATAATAATTTATTAATCGTTAAAATCATTTCAAATATATGAAAAATTCACGTACATCTATTACGATTGTTGTTTTTCCGTATATTCAATGGCAAATTTTATGAAAGAATATATTTGCATGTCAAAATTCAATTAGACACTGACAATTATTTATATTAAATCATCGGTAAGTAGGTGAAAGTTACTCAAATTAATGAAATCGATGAAATTATATGAGTAAAACAATTAGGAAATTGAAAGAAATTAGTGAAAATCAATAAGATACTT